AAACCCAAAACCCCAAACCCCAAGCCCTAAGCCGTACTACTCATCTCATGAACTCACAGGCTGTGGTAGAACAGATCTTGGAGTTTCTCAGAATGGGGTCCGGTTTAGGGTTTAGGGTGTAGGGTTTAGGGTTACGGACCCCCAAGGATATGTGGGGATTAAAAAGGGAGTTATACGGATCCCTATTTGGGATTATTAGAACTTCTAATGGCTCTTTCGAGAAATGCGCAAATCAGTCATCATCCAAATGGATCATGCGCAACAGAATGTAGATCTCGGCCCTTCTTCGTGAGGAATGCTGCGTTGAGGAAAGTTATCTGCGGATTTTCTAGTAGCTGCTGTTACTCTTGTTTTGATAGGGAGGTTTTTATGTTCGAAGCTGGAGCCAAAAAGGCTACAACCCCAAACCCCAAGTTCAGAGTTTGGCAATGGTAGGGCTCTTTTACCTTCAGAGTGTAGAGGTTTAGGCTTTAGGGATCAAATGGATAAGGGTCAAACTTGGACCCTATCGAGGATACAGCTGATAATCGCTGATAATCCAGTCTCTCAAGTTTGCGCCTTGAAAATGGAGGCCCACGTTCGGTGATCGCCCAAATGGCCCAATGAACCCAGGCCATGCGTAGAATCCATTTAGACTAGGTTTAGGGTTGAGGGATGTTGAGGGTAAGCAGACATTACTCCTACAGTCCTACAGAATGTCCAACAATGACACTTCTAAAATGCAATGCGCCTGCTTGTATTCGAAGCAAGGGTTTAGGGCACTTTCCTACTTTTGGGGGCCGTTTTGTTAATGAGGGGTTCGGGAACCTACTCACACAGGCTTATACAGGGACCATTGAATGATAACTAGTCACGCACTTCCAGGGTTGCTGAAAGTAGGCTTTAAACAGGGGTTTCCCAAGATTAAGAGTATCTTTTGGTGGGACGCTACAGAGGGATTATAATGGTCCCCCTGTTTAGGGAAACTACATTTTGCAACAGGCTTCAGATCCGTTTACCTAAGCCCTGAACCCCGCGGTCCTAGGGGAAGTCCATCTGCATCCTCATCCAACATGCGGACCGCCGCTGTTGTAAAGCCGGCGATGAGCCAAACCCACAGCGAGCTGACCGCCAAAGTCTCTGTCAAGGCCACTGATCCTTAGTTGTAGTAGGGTTTCGTGTTTAAGGCTTTTGCTAAGGAACCGTAACTAAGTTGCTTAGACAAGGAAACCCTATTACCTGCTGTACACCATATTATATATGCGTACTTAACTTAAGTTCCTTAACAGTAACCTAACCCAGTAGTCGTATTGTTTACAGTTCAGGCTCCTCCTCTGGCATCTTAACTGATGTGGTTGGTATCTTGGATGCACCTAAATATGTTTGGCATAAATTCCTTGTAGAAAAACAGAACAGAAGACCTGTAAAAATGCTACCAAAATTTCCTAGGATCTGGGAAGGTGTTCTGTACCGCCCTGGTGATATCCAGAATGACCTCGCGTGTGTTCACAGAGGCATGCTCCGATCGAAACAATCATATAATCCCCACAAAAAATGCAGTATTTTCCACTTTCTCTTCCATCATCCCTACATACCCCCAAACCCACGGGCTTTGCGTGTGGGTGCTCCTGTAGTTCAGCAACTACATCAGCAATCTTCACAAGCTTTTCCTGCGAACTCCTAGAACCTTAAAACCCTATGGCCCCCCTTAAGTAGATAGAATATGGGGTGTATGGGGATCTTATTAACCCAAAGCCATATTCTATCTACTATAAACCCTAAACCTTGAAGATCCTTGAAGACTGTCAGAAGCTGAGCCCTGGGCGCATGGCTCGTGTGTGCACTGCCACAAAAAGGGAGTAGACTACTGCCCAGCAGTGCACGGCTCCGGCTGCAACAAGAACTAGAGAGCTGTTCAAAAAAGCTCTCTTGGAGCGCTCCACGAACCTGGGTTGGGCTGCGATGTTACAAAAACATTCACTTTCCAGTTCTGGGGTTTCGGGTTCAAGGTTTGAGGGTTTGGTTGTTGGTTGGATGGGATTTGTAAAAGCTTTGCAGTTCTTCAGACTTGAGGTCAGGTATGTTTGGAGCACACCTTCAAAGCGCCCCCGAACTTTCTTGAACTTTTCTAAGCTATCAACAAAGGCTCTCTTAATTACTCCTGGCAAAATCCTACATCCTCAACCCCTGCACATCCTCAACCCCTGCAGCCCCAAACCCCTACACCCTAACAAACATCGATTCAGCAAAGCCCTAAACCCTAAAAGCTAAACCCGAATCCCTAAACCCTCCAACCCTGAACCCTAATCCCTAGACCCTAGACCCCAATATATATATATATATGTATACCCTATTATAATGTAGTAGTTTCCATTTTCTTTTCCATTATCCCTATATTACCCCTATATGTTCCATGTAATCCCCATATAACCCTAAAGCCAACAAAGACCCAGGAGCTGGATCCATCCCAGCCAGCCCCGAACAGCTAAGTACACAAGCGGCTGCATCTGCCTCGGCATCATACTAACACTTCAGCATAATGGAAAAGAATATGAAAACTACTATCTATTCAGAACCTTTTTATTTGTTTAGGGTTTACGGTTTAGGCTTTAGGGTTGGAGGGTCTAGGGGGCATAGTAAATAGGTCCATGATGGGCAAGACTGCGGCCATCGTGTAGCTGATAGGTTACAGGTATACTTACGAAATCCCACAGACCCAAGTAGTGTTAGGATTCAGGGTTGGGGCTCACGGATAGCGATCGGACGGCGGATGGGGTGTCTCAGGGATAACCTAATCGATGTTCGGTTTGTGTGGGTTCTTATGAGGGACTGCTGCTTCGTCGGTATGGAAGCTGTCCAAGTTTATGTCAGAAACTGGTACAGCACAGCTGCAGCGGCCAAAGTACAAGCGGAAATGGGGCCTGTCTGTTTCTTTGATCTTTTGATCAGTCCTGGATTCCCAAAAACAACCCCTAAACCTTCAACCTACGCTGGAACGACCCAACTTGAATCCCTACACTGGAACAAAACAACTCGAATCCCTAAGCGCCCAGACGCGGGGAGCTAAAATACTACACCCGCAAACCTTCAGTACTAAAACTAATAATACGAACAGGACAAGTACTAATAGCAATAGTAATAGCAATAGTAATAGTAATAGCAATAGAAATAGGAGTATTCGTATTAATAGTACTGTTAGTATTAGTAGTAATTGAAATAGTAATAGTCAAAGTAATAGGAATAGGAATTGTAGTATTAGTAGTATTAGTAGTAGTAGTAGTAGTAGTACCCAGGCGCACCCCCTGGCGCCTGGTGGTTTCGGGTGTTTTCAGTGTCCGCAGCAGCCGCCACAGCCGCAGCAGAGCCAGCAGCATCGCATTCGTTGGGGCGGGGCACTGACTGAGAGAGGGGG